GTTTCGTGTATTTTAGTTTCGCAATAAAGAAAAAAAAACCACTGAAAATACTGAAGACTTTATTTCAAATAAAATTCATATATTAAAATAAGAAATTTAAAATTTCAAGCATCAAAACAAATTCAAGACATTTTGGTAACACGTCACCCTTTTTGTTCAAAAGTTTACAGCAGTTTGATTTTTTATTTTTTTTATTTGTCTGTTGGTTTTTGTCTCCACTGCTCCTGGTTTTGTTGTTGTTTATTTGTTTACCCTTTAATGCTTGCTCTCCAGCTCTCTCACACGCTTGGTCAGATCTTCTAACGCTGCTTTCAGGTGCTTCACCTCTTTCTTCAAAGACTGGACGTCCTGGAGGACGGAGAGAGACGCAGATAATTTATTATGACCTCATTTTATGACAGAAAAAAGCGCTGAAATCAAGAAAGTATGAATCMAAAATTAACTAAGATATCACTTTTTATCTTAGGAGACGTAGTTTTTGTTGTAGTTCTGGGTTATTTGAGCCTAGGGCAGCAGGAGGGTTGGACAGTCTCACCTCTCCACCTCCCGTTGGACTCCCGGCAGCAGCACCTGTGGTCTTCAGAAGACTCTTGTGAACTTTGAACTCCTTGGCCTTGGTGGTGGCTGTGAAGCCGTCTTTTAGAGAAATCAGGATGGGCGGAGCTTCCTTCCCGTTGAACCACTCGTCGGCCTCCACCGAGGGCTCGGGCCCGATGGTGTCGGGGTACAGGTCCTCCTGGAACAGGTCCGACTGCTCGGACCGGGGCAGGACAGAGTCAGGTGAGGACGTCTGGACTCAGAAAAGAAGGTTTCCGTGAATCTCACCTTGCGGGGCACCGTCATCACTATGGGCTCACATTTCCTCTCGTGGAGTTTGTAGAACCTGAGAAAAAGAAAGAAACGGGCTCAAAGAAAAGTCCAGACTAACGACGGGAAGAAGAAAAACTGATCCAGCACCTGGCGATTTCACATTTGTTGACCTCCAGGCCCCGTTTGGGCATGTAGCCCATGCCCTTCTGGCTCTCCTTGCTGCTGAACATGGACAGGTAGTGGACGTACGGCGCCTCGTCCGTCACCTCAAAGTAACGGATGCTGCTGTCTCCCTGCGAGGACGGTACAGATTGTTAGACAGCGAGACTTTGGGATCAATTTTCTGCCAACAGGAAGTGAAWTTGAATTGCTCAMATTYAATCTGAATGTYCATAATTTGAAARTGAYTGRATTGGWTTGAAAATAAAATTCACTAAACTGAAACTGAATTTAAAGTTTTGAATTTGAATTAATTTGTTTTGAAACTGTYTTTTGGTTCAGTTCCATAATTCAGATTTTTGTGTCACATCCTGGTCCTTGAGAAAGCCAGGCAGAGTAATCAAACACAGATCCACAGATTTATGTTTCACTTGGTGAAGTTTCCCTTCTGTATGTAACAGAGTTGATGCAATCCACTGTAAAAGTGACAAAAACAAAGTTATTTTATTGCAGTGATTAATTTGACCTATATGTAGAAAATGTTACATTTACATCATGGATCACATATTGATCAGATGCTGCTGACTGATCCATGATGTAAATGTAACATTTTCTACATATAGGTCAAATTAATCACTGCAATAAAATAACTTTGTCTGTTTTTGTCACTTTTACAGTGGATTGCATCAACTCTGTTACATCCAGAAGGGAAACTTCACCAAGTGAAACATAAATCTGTGGATCTGTGTTTGATTACTCTGCCTGGCTTTCTCAAGGACCAGGATGTGACACAAAAATCTGAATTATGGAACTGAACCAAAATACAGTTTCAAAGCAAATTAATTCAAATACAAAACCTTAAATTCAGTTTAAATTTAGTAAAATCCATTTTCAAACCAATGCAGTTAATTTCAAATTCTGCACATTCAGATTCAATCTGAACAACTCAAATTCAGTTCCTGCTGGCACAACATTGATTCCATACYAGAGRCTGGTTCAGAACTGCGGGTCGGTTCTGAGCCTAACCTTGCCACAGAGGTAGARGACGCCGGTGTCGGGGTCGAAGAACGGCAGGAGGACGCCGCTGCTGGTGTCCAGCTCCTGCAGGGTCAGAGGCTCCGAGAAGTTGTCCTGAGTAACAAAGACAGGTAAAGCTTCAGGTAAATCTAAAGAACAAAAAGGTTTGTCAGACACGTGTGGTTTGTTTCACAGCAAACACCCTGGTGTTGGGAAAGGCTGCTGTTGTAACATTAGGTTCCTCCTTGATAACAAATACTTTTATTGCTTTAAGCTTGCATCATTTTACAGTGAAGCAGCTTGTTTTGTTCGTGCTTCAGGAGTGAGGAAATGTTGTTATGTTTGATGGTGTGTAGGTTGTGTAACGACGGTCGGAGGCGCGGCACTCACAGGATCCCACAGCGCCACCTGCCTCTCGCTCATACGGCTGAAGCCGGTGCTCAGGATCTTCCCGTCGGACACGAACACGGCCCGGACCGGCCTGGAGCCCTCGTGAGGTTTCTCCTTCTCCTGCGGGTCGAGACGTAGAAAAACAAACCGATGACTAAAACGGTGAGAGCGACAAGAGATGCGCGATCCGAGCGGGACACACTCACAAACAGGACGGTGCCCTTGCGCGGGTCCAGCACCCGCAGGGTCTTGTCTTTGCAGGAGGTGAGGATCCTGGAGCCGTCCCGGTTCCAGCAGGCGCTGTAGATGAGGTCTGTGTGCACGCTGTCCATCCTCACCACCGCCTCCCCCCGGGCCACGTTCCACAGGATCACCACGTTGTCGCAGCCTGGGGAGCAGCGACGACACAACACAACACAACACACACTGTCAGTCACAACACACACTGTCAGTCACAACACACACTGTCAGTCCCAACACAACACACACTGTGGTGCAGTTTAGTTCTGCGCTGAAGAAAGCTGATAAATAGAGTTCGAACAAGATGAAATATTGTGTGTTTCTGTCTGTTCCCGTTCACATTCCAACACTTAGAGGCCAAGATTAACTTCAAGGAACGCACATGTGTGTTCGCACGTCGCCCTCTGCCTTTTAGACTAAGATCATCGTGTGGAGAAAAACCTGGACAATCAGGAGGATGATCAGCTACTYCTGTATGGAGCTAAATTTGGGTCATAAGTTTTGTTTAAAAAAAGTTTTTGAAACTAAAAAAAGAGATTTGAAACTGAAAAATTTCCATTTCAGTCCTTTTTTCACTTCCAAATTTATCAGTTTTATTAAGCAGCATACAGTAAATGTACATTTTTAAATGCAACTATATGA